TACCTTCCATAAGAATCTTCAATTTGGTTAACGAACAAAAATTCGATTAACGAAATCCTTACAAAAATCACGTTTTGTTGTGAGCATCAGCTGGTCAGCTAATGGACTGGTCTGCCAATTTAGTAATCTGTTCTATGTTTACATTCGTTTCCAATGGAGTAAATATCAATAAGGTTGTGCTTTATAATAGTTTTGCATGTTTTATATTAAAATTATTAGTCATTTTAACATTTATTTAACATATTGATAATATATGCAGTACAGGGAACTAGTTAGTTGTGCACCCATCAGAATCGTGAGTCGGCCACCAGGCGTCAGTCTGGCTTTGTTTACAGTCGAGAGAGCGTCTAGTTTGTTGGTGTCTTGAATATTTTTGCATTTTTCATTGAAATTATTGGTCATTCTGAACTTTAGTTAAGATATTGATAATATACAGTGGGGTATGCTATAACGAACGTAATTGGTTCCAGAACCTCGTTCGTTATAGCATTCGTTCGTTATAGGATTAATCCGTTCCAGGCCCCAAATACAACCACTTAACACTGAAAAAATTCTGTGGAAAATGTAAAAAATCGTACTTTATCTTACCTTAGTGTGTTCAGCAGCGGGGACAGGGTAGATGGAGGGGGGGAGGAGGGGGGGAGGAGAATTATTGAGAAGAGGTGGAAGAGAGGAGCAATCCCTTCCCTAGCCCTCTTGGTGACTGTCTACAGGCACTTTGCTCAGAAGTTTGTTATTCAAAGAAGGTATCCAGGGCGCTGGCTGCTTCAACCTTGATTTCTGACCTTCCAAAAAGAATATTGTCATTAAACACACCATGGCCTTTTTGCACAGAACCAACATCAGGATGATAATCCTCAGCAAGTTTGACAGTTTGCTCCACAGTAATTGACCTGGAGATCTTTGACTGGAAATGATGCGGCTTCCCTGTCTTCCTCCTCCCTGACTCAAAAGTTAAGCTTCGCCTTTGTGGTCTGCTTTTGTTCTTTGTGAAGCTTCAAGTAGCTCTAGTGGACAGTTCCCTTACTGTGCTTCTTCCACCAATCCCTCAACATCATTTATCCGTCTCCAGGCCTATGGAATTGCCCAGAGCCACAATTCTGCCATGAACAAATACCTTTTTCTTTCTGGATTCTTCAAAGCCTTCAAAGTCTCTTTTTGAAGGATTAATATTCAGGCCACAATGGCCTCCAAGCAGCACAACAAAGACACCACAGTAACCCTTTTCCAGGCTGAAGTAATTAAAAAATACAGCATCTGCTATATTGAAGTGACTCTTCCAAAATTCCTTCAAGCCAACATCACTGGAAGAAGTGGACGCAAAACATTTTCTAAACAGTGCCTTGTGTACAGCTTCTTAAAAGTTAGAAATTACCTGTTGATCCATGGCCGATGAGAGGTGTTGTGTTGGGTGGCAAGAAGTGCACAGTGATGAAGTTGAACCCCTGCAATTCAACCACTAAATTAGGAGGGTACAGCATTGTCCATCACCAACAAAGATTTTAGTAGAAGATTATCTCCCTGAGGCCCCCGTAACACTGGGTCCAAAACACCTCAATCACCCACTCCAGAGAGAATAAATTCCTGGTCACTCCAAGCCTTTGGGTTTGGACTGCCATTACAACACCAAGGTGGTCTTCTGAAGGGTTTTTAAAGCTCTGGGGTCTTTTCTGCATGTTATGAGTGGCTTTATTTTGCAGCTCACCAGAAGCATTATTAGCACAAAGAAGCGAGGGTAAGCCTGTCTTTCATTGGCTTAAGTACAGACAGAAGTTTCTCCTTAAATAAAGTGTACGGCGCAGGCATTTTTTTCTCAAAAAGTTCACAGTTTCATCACAGTTGGAATACTTGCTGAGAAACAAAGCCTCCTCTTTAATAGAATATTCAAGAAATGTCATGGTGTTCTTGGGCTAAGCCCTTATCGCAACGGGAAGTAAAAACAAATCTCACAAATACCACTATGTGATTATGGCTTTCCTTCTGAAACCAGTAAACCACCTCAAATCAACCAGGTGTGGTGGATGTAACCAAAGGCCCTGAAACCCAGTATACCCAGCAGATATATTCAAGGTACAAGGCTGGTGTTGAGAATCCACAGGAAGATAATAGGGACCCCGGACCTGCAGGTCGGTGCCTATCTGAGTGGAAATTGAAATATTGCGCGGAATAAATGAGGCCCTAATTACTCAACTAGCTGCATATATAGTACCGACATAGTAAATATAGAGATAAGCACAATGACATCAGATATACAGGCAATAATATGTAGTAATACAGACACATGTGAATAAATGGTACAACACGGTAACAGAGTCTTGTATGTCAAAGTGTTCACATATATCTATATTAACCTCCTCCCCTTACGCCAGAACTCAGCGGGCGGACTTTTCTGTGAGTCGGGAGCGGTAGGACAATGGGAGATCAACTGACGGCATCTTCGCTCCTGGTCTGGGGGGGTACGACAGGGACGGGAGGAAGGTTCGTCAGATAAAGAGCGCCTGTTTCACCACACACATCACTGGGGAGGCGGCGGATTTGGCATTTAACGAGGTTCGCCATGATGCCCATGATTTACCAACCTTACATTCCAGCGGTGACGTCGGGTCCTGGATTCACATTTTGCTGGGCCGACGCACAACCTGGGAAGGGGGCGGCTTGGGCCATAGTGTTTGTCAATGGGGCTTATCCGGCAGCCTTCACGGCACCGTCCGCCTGATCTGCTATTCATCTAAGAAGGACTGGGTAGCACACGAAGGGCGACAACACGAAGGCCACCGCAAGCGGAGTTCCAGTAGGCTCCTGTCGAACTCCTCGCGAAACCAGTATTCCTCATTTTGTACAGTCTTGGAGGATGAGGTATTTATTTGACTTAATGTCAAGCGCAATATATTCATTTCCGCGGGTAATGAGAGGGAGATTTATGTGGTGGACGCCGCAGCTGCTCGGCTAAGCTCTTGAAGTCCTCGTGGGTTATTGAACTGGGCCCACTGCTTCGTTCGAGGTACAGAGAGTGCACTCCGATTTCCCCGGAAGAAGCAAATAAAACATCCGGATGATCCCTGAAGAGGTATCCCACCATTAGAACTACCACGGGCTATCCAGAGAGTCTGTCATGCAATTTATCAGAGTACAGATTTTCCGCCACATTAAAGAAGATGAATTCAAAGGGCCGCCAGAGGGCTGCACAGTAATGCCTTGTTGCTGGCTGGGTTAGCTCACAGGCCTCGCAACCGTGTTTTAATATCAAAGTGCCATTACCAGGCCAGAAGACTGATGGCTCTGGCGCCAGGAAGTTTACAACGCCGGTGGTTGTCATGGAGGCGGATAAAGGCCAAGGAGGGCAAAGGAACGACGAGTCTTGGGGCACACCAGCTCGGGCCCGAGTAGAGGTTATCCCTTAGTTTCCAGAAGGGAGGAAGTAGAGGTGAATGTCGAAGCGTTGTGTGGGGAAATGCAGCGGAGACGAACAGAAAGTCGGATGATGCTGGGTCTTGAGCGCGGCATGCGAAGCTCCTGAGAGTCCCAGTCGCTCGGCGGAGGCGTTGCCGCCGCTCTGCTGAAGAGAAGTGGCTGGAAGACCAACGCTGAGCAAAGCGCTGGCGGCAAACACCATCCGGTGGGGCGACTAACAGGGGCTCGGAGAGGGCGTTCAGGAAGCTTCCCGCGCCGCGATGAAGTTCAAAAGACGAAGGGGCGTCTTTCTTGAGGGTTGGAGGCCAGGATTGATGGCGTCCAACGGGGTAGTGATTAAGAATGGCATGAGCGGGCGGTATGGTCCGGCTTATGAGGGTGAAGGTCAAGGTCAGCACAGGTAAAAGGGCCAGAAGGCGCCCAAAGATGCCGTTAGCATTCTAGTTCAACAAAGGCGATCGGCTTCCGTGTCCGCCAAAAACCTGAGCCACACTGAATGTTCATCTTGGCCAGTGGGGTCTTGAAGGAGGGTATATCCTAGGTCAGAGGACGTGGGAGGCGTCGGTCTGGAGGACTGAATGGCAAGGACAATGGTCGAAGGGTGCCAGGACTGGTGGTGACAGCACGCTTTTACATTCTCGAACGCTAGGTCGTGGTCAGAAGTCCAGAGAAGCGAGCGCTTTGGGGCTCAAGAGGGGCGAGAGGCGAAGGATGTGGGCGATTTTAGGGAGAAGTCACAAAGACGGCCAGGCCCATAAATAGCCGAAGGTCGGTCAGGTTCGCTGAGTAGGAAGTCCCTTACGGCCTTGACCTTTCCCTCATCAGCGAGATCCCCAGAGATGCTGCCAGCCGCGAGTGAAATTCTTGGGGGGCGGCGACCACAAATTTATCTTGTTCAGGGTGATACCACAGACATTCAGGAGCATCAGATGAACTCGTCTGCGGCCGGAGATCACTGCCGAAGAGGCGCGGATGTCATTCACTTAATTTTCAGGGGCCACACATTTCCTGTCGGAGGCAGTACGCATCTCTTGCTATGCTGGCGGGTCAGGTAACCGCGGCAGTGTTGAAGCGTCAGAGGGCGTGATGAATGTAGTGAGGTGGTATGCATCTTTCCGGCCAGGTTGACTTGCCAGTACCTGCGTAGCATCCGCCGTGGTAAAGAACTTTGCAGACGGAAGATGCGATTGCTTACGGGCGAGATATGGATGGGCGGATGGAGACTCAAGTAGTTGGAGAGATGGGTGAGGTCCACTGTGAGGAATAATTGTTTATGTAGGCTGGGGGGAAGCAAGACGAGGGTGACACCACTCGAGGTGGCTCTCACCGGCGCAGCCTGATGATCCCTGCTGCACCAGAGAATCGAGCCTGCCTTCACCTTGTCCCAGATGGGCAAAGGGATAGGGCCTGGGTGTGGATGGCGAGGCATGCTCAAGGCCAGGCTTGGAGGTGTGATTCTCATCGGGGGCCTGTCATCTCTTGAGCGCGCCTTCTGGAGGTCGGGCTTGGAGACAAGGACGCCGCTGAACTGACGAAAAGAACTCCCGGCGGCAGCAGGTGGCTGAGACAGGTATCTTGCACACCTGTTGAGGTGTGTCACAGCGAGGATGGGCTGGGTGGATGAGACGATGGCTGTCCTGGCCAATGGCCACATGACAAGAGAGGGGTTTGGATGCCTCATGGATGGACTGTGGCAAGGCAAGACTTGGGATCAGCTGTAGTGTTGCCTTGAAGCAACCCAAAGGTGGAGACATCGGGGATCCGCCAGAGCACGCTGCTCATGGCTGTGGGCAGACAGGCTACTCCTGGGGATGTTGAGGGCGTCCAGGTGTGTTATCCAATCATCAGGATGTCCTCGCTACCGTGGTCAGGTACTCACTGAGGTTAAAGAGTTGGTACCGTAGAGACCTAACATTGACGGGCTTGGGGGACCTGGTTTGTCGCAGGTATCATCCACGCGCCGGGCATCCTTTGTTATTCTTGGAGACGGTGGTGTGGACGCAGAAGAGACGCTTTGACCTGGAGGTGGAGGTTTTTGGTGGACCTGCAACACTTGGCTTAAGTAAGTCTGAGCTGGCGTAAAGCATGAGTACTTTGTTGGCAGGACATCAGGTAAAAAGGGCCAATGGGCCTGCAGAAACCAGCTGAAGCTCAGTTACGTACTACTTGAAATGCAGGGCACTTTCCGGACCATGCTTAATGCTGACAGTTTCTGCAGGATTTGGGAAGAAACTGTGACTGTGGACGGGGAAGCTGTGGAGAGATTGCCTGCATCTGGCTAGGATCATTCCTTCTTGTAGGTGGAGACAAGCGTGGACTCTGAGATGGCGATGAGTGTATAGTTGTGGCAGCTCTCTTTGTGGCCTTCATACCACCTGGGCAACAGGGTGACTAAGCCGGTGAGGGAAGAGGGCGGAAATGAGGGTGAGGAGCTTTGAAGCAGGTCCTCGTCACTGACACCCACTCAGCAAGCATCATCTTGAGCTGGATCTCACAGGTTACAGTGGACGCCTGTACATAGGTCCACCCCGGTTGCTAGGGTCCTTAAGTCGCGTAGAAGCCCGAGTAATTGATTCCCCAGTAGCTTGTTTGCAGGATAGCAGTTCCTTACGACGAAAGCTTTCATTGGCGAGGCCACGGAAATGACTCTGCAAGGCTGCTTAAAACCTCTGTCACCAGACCTGGGAGTCAGGGGGATGGCGCTAGCGTGCTCTAGGAGGCGCTGAACATCAGGAAATGTACGATCTAATTGGATGAGTTGTTGGTGAGGGGGTATTCGGTAGAGGTCAGACATAACAGCAAAGCTCCTAAACGACGCCGCTATTGACGGTATAATTTGAGGTGTTGCATCAGATTGAAGTAAGGTGGGGACTGGGGAACTGGAAGACTTGCTGTGCAGGGGTGTACTGAGACGGCAGGAGAAAATGAGAGGTGTCAGATTTGAGAGCTGAGACTGGAACGGGTGGCTGAGAAATATCAATTGAGGCATACCTAGATAGGTGACGGTGAGGAGGCGTTGTTTGAAGGATAGATGAGGCTGAAGCTGGCTTAATTGGTTGCAGCAGCTGGTGAAGTCGTCTCAAGGCCAGCAATTCCAATAGGTCCAGGGAATTTATGTTATCAGCTTGGTGTTGTTGTTGAAGTTGAAGGCGGTAAGCTGATCCTCTGACCGTCTTGACAATTTCTCTTGACGCCGTTTTTCCTCCCTCTAATTGACGCCTTTGGGCTTCCTTCTCTTGAGAAACTTGTAGGAAGTGGATTAAATTGACGTGATATCCAGCTCCATCCTTGAATTTGGCGCTACTCGGGCGGTGAGGCGGAGGGGGGTGGGAGGGTCTACAGGAGGCGCCGCCTTCCTCATAATCTCTCATATAAATTTCCCAGCAAATGCTGGTCGACATTCAAGCTTGGTATTGTTACATGGAAGGAGAATAAGGTGAAGTGCTATATTTTCTACCAATGGATTTGCTTATGCAGGAACTGGCTGGCAAGTAAAAGAGCATTGACTGTAATTATTTGTAAGTGAGAGGGGTTAGCGGCGTGTATTCTCCGCCCGGCGGTAGATGCTGGTGAGTGTCAGTGGAGGGGACGCGGGGCAGTGGCTTGCAGCTCGCGGGATGGGGTATGCCGGAAGTGCCAGTTCTGGAAACTGGGTTGAAGGCGTATCATGGAACACCTGTAGGCCAAGAGAAACAGGCAAGGCAGAGACAGAAAAGGCACTGCACTTAGGGCACTTCATTAAAGGTCACAAAGCACTTTAAACTAGGGCACTAGAGTATATCTTCTTAAGGGGAAACAGACGGTAGTCGAAATGAGACGGGGCCGGCTCTTGAGGCTTGTAAACTGTCGTTGAGTACTAAAATCAAACAATCCTAGACAAGGTTCTTGAAACTCCAGGGCACGAGCAGTAGATATATTCAATAAGTGTACAAGGCTGGGCGTGATAGCCAACCGATACAGGAGCGATTACTAGGGACCCCGGACCGTAGGTAGGCCGAGGCCGATCTGAGGGAAATTAGCTAGCCAGGCAAGGGGAGTTGCTAGACATTCCTAGGACAATAAATGAGGTCTTCTAATTACTCGACTAGCGCGGTACAGACATAGTACATCGGGACATAGTAAATGAACATAGGCATTAGACATAAGCATGGACATCAGACATGCTATAATAATATGTAGTAATACAGACATGTGAATAAATGGTACAATGAATGGTAACAAGAGTCCTGGTGTCAGGCGTGTTCACATATCTTGGTATGTACATATCTATACAGTACCCATAAACACTGGCACATCACTTTCACTTGCACTGGGAGTCTTGGCTTTAAGGTCCTCAAACAATTGTCTGGCCTTCTCACAAATTATAGCTTCACTAATGCTATCACCTGCCATTTCTTTCTCCTTTATCCACACTAAGAGTAAATTTTCCATCTCCTCAATAACATTACACCTTGCTTTGCTAAGTCTAGAGATTCCCTTAGCCACTTGCACTGTTTTCAACTCCTCTTTATTCTTTAAAATCGTACATATAGTCGATTTAGCCATCCCATACTCAACACTAAGTTTCGCAATGCTTGTTCCATCCTCACGTTTCTTTATGATTTCTTTCTTAGTTTCAAGAGTTATGAGCTTTCTCACTCGCTTTGAACGATTCATTGTCACAATTGTACACTTGTATAACAAAATATTTATACAAATAACTCTATTTCCACATCAAAAGACGAAATTTCAACAATAACAGTGGTGCACTGGCTACACAATGAGACAAAGATGGCGCCTGACGCTCTTGTTGTGGGTTGCGGTACAACAATATTCATGCGCCAGGCGAAATAGTCCGGTATTCATCCGCGTTCGTTGTAGGAGTTGCGTTCGTTATAGCATTCTCAATTTTATAGGTAAAACCGTTCGTTATAGGAATATTCGTAGTAGGATCCGTTCGTTATAGCATACCCCACTGTATAGTGCAGTGCAGTGTTGATTTAAAGAAAATAATCTTGAATTACACCTAGTGAACTTAAAATATAAATGGTGAAATCACTGCATCAAGCATGGTTCCCTGAAAGGTGATTTCTTTTCCATCCCCACTTCCTTCTCCTCCGCCCCACTTCTAATTAAAGTCTTACAAATCAAAGATACACCAAAATTGCAGAACCTATTTTCATACCTAAATGCCTTCGAAGAACAGCTTCAGCTAGCACCATCTGTCCACAACGTAGCATGCATCCCCAGCCTTTGTCAGAGGTGTAACTTGTATCGCCAATCTGTGCAAAGTTTCTCCGGTATGTGAGCCATATTCGTGACTGCACATCACTCCGAAGAGGTGCCAGGTCTGAAAATAAAAAGAATTTCTGTTACAGACAATCAATATTTGTGAACTTGCATGCAAATTATTCACTTAAACAGTAATCAAAACCTATTTAACTATGAATCCTGAGCGGAAGATATAAACAGGACCTTCATTCACATTTTGATTTATGATGCATGCGAAAATTAAACTGATCTAACCCTCAACACTTGTGTCTATGTTCTTCTGGCCACTTTTGCACACTACAGTATCTTGAAATTGTACGAGAACATAAATTCACATAAATGAACTTGGAGATGTATTGTCTCACACAGTCTTAGATTATATTGTCCTCTCTAATGTTACAACAGACCTGTTTGAGTTGAGTACTGTTTTCCAAAGATCCATACTGGTTCCTCTGATTTAGGGAAGTCTTCTGGTTCACTCAGTGCACCCTCGTAGGTCATACACGCTGCAAATAAATCATACTAAAATACAAGTTAATACAATATTTGTTGAACACTGATACTGTACCATACAATAACACCATTATTATGTCACAGGAACAGAACATCAAGGTAGGAAAATAAATATGTGTGTATATATATATATATATATATATATATATATATATATATATATATATATATATATATATATATATATATATATATATATATATATATATATATATATATATATATATATATATATATATATATATATATATATATATATATATATATATATATATATATATATATATATATACACACACACACACAGGGTGTTCCATAAATACTGTACCTTTCATAAATCAGGGGGTGTATTCCTGAGACATAAATAAAGATAAATGACTAAATGTTCAAATTGTCAATTCTCTGTTACAGCACATGACAGGTTTGGTAGGAATGTGATGAAACCTATAGGGTGTAAATGAAACACCCACTGTTGTTAGTGACAATTAACAATAATAATGCAATATGATTTGTGCTAGTATTAACATTTAGAGCAAATGTTCAAAGTTCCGCCCCTCTTGCTCGTGTAGGCATCAATCAACCTGTCGCACACGTTCAAAGACCCCAGTGGTGTTGTGAATGTTTGTCACGCTATCCTGCACACGGCGCCACAATTCCTCACGGTATGGGACCTCTGTAACATACACCTTGCTTTCTATGTGACCCCACAGGTAGAAAACCAAGGGGATTTATGTCAGGTAACCGTAGGTTTCATCACATTCCTACCAACCTGTCATGTGCTGTAACTCTGAAAATATTGAGAATTGACAATTTGGTCATTTAGTCATTCATCTTTATTTATGTCTCAGGAATACACCCCCTGATTTATGAAAGGTATTTATGAAACACCCTGTATATATGAGTGAAGTAACGAACAGCTATACTGTACAAGACTAACTATTTGTGTAAAAATCTTTTTATAAAACAGAAAACAGAGATAAAGTATCACTTTATGGCCTAATCAAAATGGTGGTGGTGGTGACAAAAGTGCCATAAGAAAAATATGGCAAAGAAGAGTATAAATCAACTAATACTAATACATTTAATCACTCCAACTGGGATATACTGTAGTTGATGATAGAGCCACTACTGTGTACACTTAAGGCTCCCACAGAATTAGTCATACAGAAAAAAAAAACACAATTAGAAAGAACAATCATGCCCATCAATAACCAGCAACCTACAGTACATAATTAGCACTATACAAAGCAGGAACGCATTCTGTACACAACACCTTACAGAACACAAATGTCATTTTCTATACTTCTAACGTACCTATCATCTTAGAGAATTTACGAAGCCGCCCAATAATAATACAAAGGTAAGAATCGAGGGCTTGTAAGATCCAAAGCAGGTATCTGCGCCACCGATATGGAACTCTATGGACCCATCTTCCAATCATGGTCTATAAAGAAAAATACACACTATTTCAACTGGGACAGCTAAACAACCTTTGAACTTTAGTCTTCAGTAACATATCTCATCTGAATTTTGTTATCTCAATTATTTTCTTCATACAGTTTGTAATTAATAACCTCTTTTAAAAAACAAGAGGCACCCACATACAGTACAGTATGCCCATTTAGTATCAAGAGTATATATTTATGGTTCCAAGAATTACAATAGACAAATACAGTACTGTAGTGTACTGTAACTAGTACAGTACAGGTCAGACCTCCCTGGTCCCAAACTCCATGGTCTGACATGAGCATGATATTGTACAGTATTTTTGAGGGGCTAAAATTCAAGCATTTCCATGGGTCAGTTAACGATAGCTACCTGGTACAGCACATGTTTGCGTTAGGCTAACCTTACCAGTAAGTTCCTTTATCGTGGACTTGCCTACCATACCCCTAGACTTTTTATATTGCTACATGAAGGTTTACAGATAGTGTATTCATCTTTTCATTTACATCTATTAGCATCGTTGGTGGCATTGTAACTACTTCCGGTAACCTGAGCTTTGCTGATGAGAGGTAACTTCATAGTCACATTAAAAAGTTTATGGGTTACGTTTGCATAACCCAAATGGTCTTTTCTCCATTTAATTATAAAAATAAATAATGCACAGTCAACTATGATATCACCGTAATTAACACTATGTGAGCTGTGAGTGTAGTGATCGACGGAGCTTATCAATAATAATCTTTTATGTCACACGTCCATCCGTTCTGAGAGTTGAGTGACTACTGGCAGTAGAGCCGGTTTTTAACAGCTGATTCTAGCATCTTAGAGAAGCGACTTGCCAGTGGAAAATACCTATTACATGGTCTGTGCATAATAGCTCAAAGCTCATGGAAAACTACTGTGGGTGATATAGTTATAGAATCCTAATGTATACTGTATAACCCATTTTTATATAAGTACAGGGTACCCCCCAAGTTCACGGATTTTTATTTCGCATTCCTCTATTATTTGCGGATGACACCCTGGATGTCCCCAAGAATCTCTGTGAGTAGTTTTAAAGTAGCCGGCATTTTTGCAGCTGGGACAGGGAGCCATTCATTCTAGAGACAGTAATTTCCTTCACCTGTATTGTAAATATATATATGTGTGTGTGTGTGTGTGTGTGTGTGTGTGTGTGTGTGTGTGTGTGTGTAGACACATACACACAAAACACATACAAATAAATAATAATTGGAAAATCCTCTCACAAATTATCAGAAACAAATTTACTAAAAATGTGAGTCTACCCTCAAGTCCGTGCTTTAATATTTTAGTAATAAAGCACAGATTTGAGGGTAGACTGTCACATTTTTAATAAATTTGTTTGATTATTTGTGAGAGTATTTTCCAATTACTATTTATTTGTACGTGTTTTGTGTGTGAATATACATTTCTTTGTACACAAGTAAAAATGTAAACCCCTCCCATCCGCAAATGTCATTCGCGGATTTGGCGATTAGCGGCCATTTTGAGAACCTAACCTAATTAGACGGGTTAATACAATGCTCGGTCACCACCTTTCGAGCTCCACGAGGAATTAACTAACTTCGCAGAAAAACCCTATACATATACCTACCCATGTTACATGCATATGTGTGCAGACACTAAACTGGGGAAGCTGCAACCTGGGGTTGAGCAGCTACTGGGGCCCTCGTCTGAATGTGCCTTAAGTGGAGAGTATATTATGTACAATGGTAAATTTGGATGATATTGATTTATATTAACAAACCAAAAATATAACTGCAGATATTGATGCAATAGTTGAACCGTTAAACCAGGTACAGTGGGGTATGCTATAACGAATCTAATTGGTTCTAGAACCTTGTTCGTTATAGCATTCGTTCGTTATAGGATTAATCCGTTCCAGGCCCCCAAATACAACCACTTAACACTGAAAAATATAATATAAAATTGTAAAAAAGTGCATAAATATGCATCTAAACCCCTGAAATAAAGAATATCATTAATACTTGTAATAAAAAAACAATAAATTAGCAAAAAAAAAAAAAATTAAATAATGTTCGTTGTAGGAGTTTCGTTCGTTATAGCATTCTCAATTTTATAGGTAAAACCGTTCGTTATAGGAATATTCGTAGTAGGATCCGTTCGTTATAGCATACCCCACTGTATAGCAAATCCCTGTGAAAAGTGAAATGGCAGGTTAACGTCTAGATTGGCAAAATGTGACTCCTTCAGATAAGAAATAAACTTTAATTTATCTGAAACTACATTGAGTTCACTGAAAGCCAGATTAGGAGCCAGAAACAAAGGAATCAAATCTGAAGTTAGATTTAAATTCAATTCAAAATTATGATGTAAAGGCAAGGTTTTCAACGAACTACTAAATGTTGACCACCATCCTGGCACCTTAAAATGAAACTGGTTTCTTCAGGGAAAAAAAATATTGCACATGATGCAAATGTGCATAAAACAGTTTTTATGGAAATCGGTATACACTGTATAATTACATTGCTTCAGAGCTGAGCAAACGTTAGTCTGTATGATCGCCAGTTCACATATTCCTTCTGCAGCAGGAATAAACGCAAATGCATAGGCTGGACAATGGACATACATACAAGTGTAGGTATGACGATTTACACCGTGACAACACCCTAGGATCATCCACTGCTAATAATGTGTAGTCATCATCTATTAGTAAAATTTCAGTTGGATTATCCAGAGTAAGCAGTGTGTCATTAGAATACAATGGGAAAGGTTCTAAATGCCATGCATTAAATTTGCGTTGAGAAAGCATGGGTATGTGAATAAGGATAGCATTGTGTGTGAGAGTTGACTCTAACAAAGGATAACAATATTCCACCTCCTGATCTGTGAAAACAGGAGTAAAGTGACAACTCATCTTGGCTATTTGTAATGCTTCACGAAGTATATACAGGCACAAGCTGTGCATCCACATGTCCTAACCCTGCATCAACTACACTTGTAATTAGATTGCACTTGTTAGTAGATAAAGTTTGAGCAGAAGTTTCTGCTGAATGCAAATACTGTACTCAGAAAAAGAAACTAGCCATTCCAGTATAGGCAGTGAATTCATCAAATTATATACAATCCTAGATAAATGGTTTGATTCAGAAATAATAATGTTAACCTTTGATTCAAAAACATAAAAATGAAACCAACAAAATTAAATAATCCTCGCTTTCTCCGTCTATGAGAACGAGCCTTCTTAGCAATGTCATCTTGAGATGATGGAATAGAGCATCCAGCTGCGATGATATTCTTTTGAAGGGTCCTAAGACGAAGTAGCAGAAGATTTTTACTTTGTTTTACCTGGGTAGAAATCTTAGGAAAATTATTATATACGTTTCGCAGAACGTAGTTTTAAACAATAATCATTAGATACACTTGGTGTACGTGACGTGTTTGCGGTTTGAACAGGTGTGTCTGGGACATCGTTAACATTCCAGGGGAGTATATCTGGGTGGGCCCTTCTAAGTGTGTCTGCATGTACTACGTCTGAAGTTTGTGAATATGGTTTCAAAATTTGTAATTTGTTGCCCGCTTCTTTGGCAATAATGTGGAATGGACCTTCAAACATGGGTGAAAGTTTGGAATTTCATTCAGGTTCTCTCACCATAACAGCATTGCCTATTTCTGGTGTTATAGGCTTAGCTTGTTTATGTTGCTCATAAATCATTTCAGTGTGTAACTCCCGGCCTGAGGTGAAATGACACCCTATTTTTGAAGGACTTCAATCATATTTCTAGTCTACCTAGAGGGTTACATCCAATGCCAACATGTAGAGGAAGGGTGAAAATAGTGATATCCATCAAAAAACGCATTTTGCCCAGGGTGGAGCTTTACCCCCTTGTAATGCTGAGCCCCTCATATCTTGAACCATATCTTGCATTAGAGCTCGCTGGCTATGTGGTAGTCTATAAGCTGGTATGTAAATCGGGTTTGTGTCCGGTTTTAAAGATATGTGATGCGAAATTAAACTTGACTGCCTTAGTTGTTCCCCTGGTAAGGCTACAATGGCGGCAAGCAACTCTAGGAGTCTAGTCTTGATTTGAGGGTGATCAATTACCTTAACATGTGGTGCTATTTGATCTATCCTCTCCTGTCTGGTTTGTGTAATTGAAGGTGAAACACTACCAATTGGGAATTGTGTAGGATGTTGAGCAAAATGATTATGATAAACTAGAAAAATCACGCAAGTAACATCCCTCTTTCAATATTCTGAGAGCACCCGTCCTGTTGAGAACGAGGACATCTGTCAAACCACCAGGACGAATCGTACTCGATGTAGACTCTCATGCTAGGCCTTTAACTCTGCATGTTTCCGTAAGACAGACTACGTCAGTCCCCGTGTACACGTCAGGTAAGCTAACATTGGCTCTGGTGATTTCCTCATTCTGAAAATGGAGAGTACCTATTAAGCCTGCAGGTACTACCATCCAACTGTTGCTGCTATAATCACGCTGGGTAAATGAGTCTGTGGGGTCTGGGACTCGCTTGAACTTGGTATCCATCTTCCTCGTAATAGGAGAGTTGGACAAAACATTCACCCTTGCAGAGAGCAATGGTACAGATTTGTGCATGGCACGATAGGTAACACCACTAACAGTGATAGTATGTTGGCTTGGCTGGGCATCAATCATGTTGTGTTTAAGAGTTGGAAAACCAAGTAATCTGTCAGTTGGTAAGTTAAAGTCCTTGACTACATAAAATTCTGTAAGAAATGGTATACCAAGATTAGAAAAATGTAATGGTAGTGTCACCATTCCCGTAATATCTAGCTGGGCACAAGAAACTCCTGATAGATCTGTATCAGTCAGTCTAATTTTAAAACCCGGTGGGGGGGGACGTTGTTATAGTTCTTGATAGGACAATAATGAGAGTACAGGGGGGTACTGTACATTTGCACACGCACCAGTACCTATATCTAGTGCAAGTTTGATTACACCAACCCTTGCCGGAACAGATAACACTTCCACTTTGTTCAGAACAGCTATTAACGAGGCTGCGACAGACATGCTGATCTTCCCCCGACTTCTTATGATAGCGATGACGCGACGTCTGCTGGTGTGATACCTGGGGTATCTCATACCCTATATCCCGACATCGTTGAAGAATTTGACAGTCGTCGGAATTATGGGAGGCAGACTGATGATACACACACCACATATCAGCTGTTGGTTCCATATCAGACTTGGTCTGAGCAACTGCTGAATAAGATTTGGGTGGGTCTTGTCACGGTCGTGGATTTGTGTTAGGGGGTGTGTGGTGTTTGGGTTTGACACCACCTTATTGGAGCTGGTAACAAAAGTCCATTGTATGACCTTTCTTGTTGCAGTGTTTACATTCTAAAAGTTGTTTGAGTTTTGTTCCAGAGTTCTTGGGAACTCTTTGTTGAACCGAGGCCACAGGTATTACCGTCCTTGCTTGGGGAATACGAGGTGTCTTAATTGCGATCTTCCATGCGTAAGCAAGAATTGTATCCTTACAGGTATAGTCAATTAGTCATCTGTCTTTGCTTGTGTATAAGCAGGGTCTCGTATCGTCTGGAGAAAAGTAGCAAATTCAATTAATTTTGCAAAATTCTCTAATGTCATCTTGTCATCACCATCCAGCAAGGCCGAATCACGAAAATTCGCTTTGATATCTTGACAGACATCACCTGCAATGGAGACACTTTTCATAGTATCCTCTACCCGAACCATACTAGGAAGACGGTCAACCCATCTAAAAATCCAATTCAGGTGACCTTCTAGTGCTCCTAATTAAAAAAGACCATTTAAAGTCTTTTTAAACTCAGTATATGAAGGATCCGCCAGACCACTAGCATCCAAATGTTCACTAGCGAAACTCCTTTCCTTTATGTGACCGCGGACAAAACATAGTTACGCGATAATCATCTACCACCGTGAACTCGCGAATGCAATCACTGTGTGGTAATACCTGAACAATGTTAGAATTGTTAGATGACATGCCTGAAGTAGCTATGGTTAGTGTGTTGTTAGACAACTTATATATGACTGGAGGATTAGTAGTTGCGGGAGGTAAAGGAGGAATTTCTGACACACTGTTATTCTCTGTAGGATAAGAGGAAACTTGCTTGTAATTAGGTATGGTACCGTACCTAAAACCTGACCTTAGTTTAGTACAGTGTAAATCGTCAAATGATTGATCAATAAATTGTTCAATACTCTCAATTAAAGTGTGTCGTCTGGAATGCGTCTGTGTTCCTTGCAAATCTACCTGTGGTAGTAGTACCAATGCCAGTAGCTGTGTCAGATTGGACTGCATTTTCTGAGTGTTCAGTCACTATGATAATGTTCCACCAAGTCCGTAATGTCTGAACCCAGTAATTTTTGAATCCCAAAGTTAGTACACAGACAAAATTTTCGTTTGTAATTCACTTTAAAATGGCTGGCAAGCTTAAAAGTGAGTGTTTTGTGGTGCTGAGAAGAAAAAGGGACACCCATTTTAGATTTTCTATGTATTATTTAAGCATTTCTGACTTACGACCATTTCGACTTACGACCTGGATTTGGGTCCCTAACCCCGTCGTAAGTCGGGGAGGAGCTGTAAACTATACAGTATTAGCTCTTGCACATGACTATAATGGTCGTCATCTTGGAGTAAATAAGACCTATCACAAAATCCTTCAACATTTCTATTAGCCCAAGTTACGACGTGAT